CTCTGGTGGCATGAACGCCCTCCGCTTGCCAGCCTTCTTCGAGAACCTGGGACACTCCAACGTGATCCTGACTGCTGGCGGTGGCTCTTTCGGTCACAAGGACGGCCCCAAGATTGGTGCCATCTCTTGCCGTCAGGGTGAGGAGGCCTGGAAGCAGTGGAAGGCCGGCCAGTTCGGCAACATTAGCTTGAGCGATGGCGTGATTGAGTATGCCAAGACTCATGAGGAGATCAAGGGTGCTTTCTTGACCTTCCAGAAGGATGCGGACCAGATCTACCCTGGATGGAAGGAGAAGCTTGGCTACACTGGCGAGTCCTCCGTGCAGGCTGCATCCTTCGACTGGGCCAAGCGTGCTTCTGCTGCTGCCTTCGTGGGTGCCAGTGTTGCCCCTGCCAAGAAGGAGAACGTCGTTGCCCGCCAGGCTTTGGATCAGTCCAGCCGATATGCTGACTTGTCTCTGGATGAGGACACATTGATCAGGACAGAAGCTTCATACTTATAATTCGTTGAGTTGAATCAAGAGCCAACAGAGTTATCATTAAGTTGAAATTGTTTGATCTGTCATCTTTAAATTATGTGGATATTATTTTATCTTGGAGGCTGCAGAATCCCATGATACCTGGAAGTCATCCTCCACGGATATCCATGGCCTAACAGCATTTCCGATATTGTTTGACGACTGTGTTGCATTGCAGGAACGGCAAGCACGTGCTGGTTGCGTACATCATGAAGCCCAAGGCGGGCTATGACTACTTGGCCACCGCTGCCCACTTTGCCGCGGAGTCCTCCACTGGTACCAACGTGAACGTGTGCACCACTGATGACTTCACCAAGTCTGTGGATGCCCTGGTGTACTACATCGACCCTGACAATGAGGAGATGAAGATCGCCTACCCAACCCTGCTGTTCGACCGCAACATCACCGATGGCCGCGGCATGATGTGCTCTTTCTTGACCTTGGCCATTGGAAACAATCAGGGCAGCTTGGCATTTGCAATGGAAGCTTTGCTTTAAACAGAACCGTGGACATTGTGTGTTTAATGATGGACGGTGTATTGAAAGCTCGGCCTAGACCAATTTCTGCTTTCTTTATGCAGTTTGTATAGAAAGAGTCGCAGCCAATTCTTGCTTTGATATTTTTTTGACAAACAGCAGAGTTGTAGCCATTGCATTGACCAGGCATGGGTGACGTGGAGTACGGCAAGATCTACGACTTCTACTTGCCACCCGCATTCCTCAGGCTGTATGATGGTCCTTCCGTGAACGTGGAGGACATGTGGCGCATCCTGGGCCGTGGCACCACCAACGGTGGTTTGGTGGTTGGCACCATCATCAAGCCAAAGCTGGGTCTGCAGCCCAAGCCTTTCGGTGAGGCGTGCTACTCCTTCTGGCAGGGAGGGGACTTCATCAAGAACGACGAGCCCCAGGGCAACCAGGTGTTCTGCCAGATGAACGAGTGCATTCCTGAGGTGGTGAAGGCCATGAGGGCTTGCGTCAAGGAGACAGGCAGCTCCAAGCTCTTCTCCGCTAACATCACTGCAGATGATCCTGAGGAGATGATTGCCCGCGGCAAGTACATCATGTCTCAGTTCGGTCCTTTGTCCGAGAACTGCGCATTCTTGGTGGATGGCTATGTTGCAGGTGGAACTGCAGTGACCTGCTGCAGGCGCAACTTCCCCAAGCAGTTCTTGCACTACCACCGAGCCGGCCACGGTTCAGTGACCAGCCCCCAGACCCAGCGTGGTTACACTGCCTTTGTGCACACCAAGATCTCCCGAGTCATCGGTGCTTCTGGCATCCACGTGGGCACCATGAGCTTCGGCAAGATGGAGGGTGATGCCTCCGATAAGAACATTGCTTACATGCTGCAGGATGATGAGGCCGATGGTCCTTACTACCGACAGGAGTGGCAAGGCATGAAGGAGACCACCCCCATCATCTCTGGTGGCATGAACGCCCTGCGCTTGCCAGCCTTCTTCGAGAACCTGGGACACTCCAATGTGATCCTGACTGCTGGCGGTGGCTCTTTCGGTCACAAGGACGGCCCCAAGATCGGTGCCATCTCTTGCCGTCAGGGTGAGGAGGCCTGGAAGCAGTGGAAGGCCGGCCAGTTCGGCAACATTAGCTTGAGCGATGGTGTGATTGAGTATGCCAAGACTCATGAGGAGATCAAGGGTGCTTTCTTGACCTTCCAGAAGGATGCTGACCAGATCTACCCTGGATGGAAGGAGAAGCTCGGCTACACTGGCGAGTCCTCCGTGCAGGCTGCATCCTTCGACTGGGCCAAGCGTGCATGATTGTGCCTGGTATTGTTTTAAAGACGTGCTATTTTTTCCCAACTTGAAGATGTTGAACATTGAAGCTTTTGGTTTTCCCAGCTTTGCCAGCAAAGGCAGTGAATCACTTGTTGTACTCCTCGCTGCTTTCTCGACTTGGAGACGGAAGGGCAGAAAGTCAGCAAAACCTTTTAAAACAGGAATGCAGTTTCTCGACTACTGCAACTTTAAATCGCAGGTTTCATAGATGAGAGCTGGCAGACATGTTGGCATGTCCGGCTCATTTGAAGCGTCTCTGCGAGGAAGTGTCTTACTAGTAAAATGGAAGAGACCGCTCCTATCTCGGAGCTTTCCCTAGTGTTTTCCCCACTCGACAAAGCGATTGCCATGAATGAATATTAAGAGTCTTTGCGTGGATGGGTTCCATCAGAACATGCCATGTGCAGACAAGAGTTTGAAAGTGTCAAAGAGATTTGTCAAACGGATTTGTCAAGGAACTCATTCGCATCTTTCTCCGAATTGGTTCGAAAAAACCGAATCACCGAAGCGTTATAGACAGGGCTCAAAAGAGCACCTGGAGCCAAAAGCCGTTGCCCTCAAAACATGCGGATAGAACATCATAGAACAGAAGACTTTGTCTCGATTTCAGCGCAATGCTGATTCGGGGGAAGGCACGCAGTTGTTCCTGTCATATGGTAAGATCAGTATACATCAGTCAAATAGGGCATTCATGAACTTCATGATGCTTCATTCATGATGGCCCATGTTTGTAGCATTTTGGCTCCTGCATTTTTGCCTTTTTCCCCCTGGCCTTTGAGCTCTGTTCGACAATGACGCAAAGATCCTCCAACCTTGTGTTGGCTGGCGCAGCTGCTGGTGAATCATGCTTGGTTTGATCATGCAAAACTGCAAAACCACGCGACAACTCACAGTCCTTTGAATTGAGTCCGCAACCACATGATGGAGCTCATCAAGACTCATTGACTCATGGGTGGTCCCCAGTGGGCTGACAGTTGTCAACTAGTTTGAAATCGGGGCCAGCAACTAGTGCGGTACAGTTGTGTGACTGCTGCCAGGTGGTCTAGCCCTGCTGAATGCTGCCTCTGATGCTTTTGTGGCTGCACCCACACCTGCCGCAGCGCCAAGTCTTCGTGGCTCCAATGCAGCCATGGCGCAGGCAAACCAGTGAAAGGGTTGTGAAAGAAACACAAAGCAACTCTCTGATCACTGCGTGGATCCTCCTTGTGGACCAGGATCCTTGCTGTTTTCAAATTGAATTCTCAGGCGCAGAGCGCACCTTCTTCAAATGCTTTGCCTGCCATTGCATGCGGCGGTGCAGTAGCGGCTGCTGCGGTTGCTGCTCAGCGAACAGGCCCAAAGCGTTCAGCTCAATCAACTTTGTTCCCAAATTCCGCCGGACGGTTCAAGTCAGAACAATTTCAGATATATATTATATTTATAATATATATTTATTATATAAAGCTTTGCCGGTTTGACACCAAGCATTGGACATGCAACTCAAGACCCGACTCTTGTCCAGGCGGAATTTTGCAAGCAGCCTACTGATTTGAATAGAGAGCGGGAGCACTTGTGGACAAAAACATCGTATCTTACAGTAGGATTGTGTCGGGCTAGGGAATGAATCAAGATGTCAATGAGTGTGAATGACTTGCAGGTCGGCAATCCCGCACCTCCAGCCTTCCGACCAGCGTTGTCCAGGTCAAGGAGCTCGGTGTTGTCCTGCTCAGCATGTTGGTTGCGTGCTTGATTCCCTTTTTTTCGAACAAAAGATTGAGAAACAAGTAGACGTGGATAATCATCCTGGTTCTCTCTTTTGACATTGCGTGAAAGGATTTTAAATCAGATAATTGGTCAGATAGTATACATCTTGAGGACAGCTGCGTCACTCGACGCGCTTTGGACCAGTCCAGCCGCTACGCTGACCTCTCCCTGGACGAGGACACCCTGATCCGAAATGGCAGTTATCTCAGCAAGATCTGACGCACACTGATTTCAGACAATAGTCCAGACGGACTTCAGCCCTTTTTATATGTGTGCAGGGATATTGAACATTTGGCATCACTGTTTTGAAGTGAAATCCAAGGCAAGCACGTGCTGGTTGCCTACATCATGAAGCCCAAGGCGGGCTATGACTATTTGGCCACCGCTGCCCACTTTGCCGCGGAGTCCTCCACTGGTACCAACGTGAACGTGTGCACCACTGACGACTTCACCAAGTCTGTGGATGCCCTGGTGTACTACATCGACCCTGACAACGAGGAGATGAAGATCGCCTACCCAACCCTGCTGTTCGACCGCAACATCACCGATGGCCGCGGCATGATGTGCTCTTTCTTGACTCTGGCCATTGGAAACAACCAGGGCAGCTTGACAATTCATGTGCAAGAAAAGCTTTGAGCTTTGAGATCCGACAATTTTTCATTTCATGCTTAAATCCAAAGTTTTGTTACTTTTGGTAAAATCTGCAGTCTTATAAATCCCAAGTTTTGTTGCTAATTTGAGATGTGAAAGCCGTAGAGCGCTTAGGATAAGATTTCGGGAGATGCAATATCTTGAGGACTTCACACAGACTACAGCCGCACACATTGCGTGTGCTTACAAAGCATAGAAAGAGTCTAGACAAAGTGCAATGAAATTCTTGATTTGATGATGATGGAATGTTCTCAGAAACAGCATAGTTGTAGCTACCGGTTCTGATGAGGCATGGGCGATGTCGAGTACGGCAAGATCTATGACTTCTACCTGCCACCCGCATTCCTCAGGCTGTATGATGGTCCTTCTGTGAACGTGGAGGACATGTGGCGCATCCTGGGCCGTGGCACCACCAACGGTGGTTTGGTGGTTGGCACCATCATCAAGCCAAAGCTGGGTCTGCAGCCCAAGCCTTTCGGTGAGGCGTGCTACTCCTTCTGGCAGGGAGGTGACTTCATCAAGAACGATGAACCCCAGGGCAACCAGGTGTTCTGCCAGATGAACGAGTGCATTCCTGAGGTGGTGAAGGCCATGAGGGCTTGCGTCAAGGAGACAGGCAGCTCCAAACTCTTCTCCGCTAACATCACTGCAGATGATCCTGAGGAGATGATTGCCCGTGGCAAGTACATCATGTCTCAGTTCGGTCCTTTGTCCGAGAACTGCGCATTCTTGGTTGATGGCTATGTTGCAGGTGGAACTGCAGTGACCTGCTGCAGGCGCAACTTCCCCAAGCAGTTCTTGCACTACCACAGAGCCGGCCACGGTTCAGTGACCAGCCCCCAGACCCAGCGTGGTTACACTGCCTTTGTGCACACCAAGATCTCCCGAGTCATCGGTGCATCTGGCATCCACGTGGGCACCATGAGCTTCGGCAAGATGGAGGGTGATGCCTCCGACAAGAACATTGCCTACATGCTGCAGGATGATGAGGCCGATGGTCCTTACTACCGACAGGAGTGGCAGGGCATGAAGGAGACCACTCCCATCATCTCTGGTGGCATGAACGCCCTGCGCCTGCCAGCCTTCTTTGAGAACCTGGGACACTCCAATGTGATCCTGACTGCTGGCGGTGGCTCTTTCGGTCACAAGGACGGCCCCAAGATCGGTGCCATCTCTTGCCGTCAGGGTGAGGAGGCCTGGAAGCAGTGGAAGGCCGGCCAGTTCGGCAACATTAGCTTGAGCGATGGTGTGATTGAGTATGCCAAGACCCACGAGGAGATCAAGGGTGCTTTCTTGACCTTCCAGAAGGATGCGGACCAGATCTACCCTGGATGGAAGGAGAAGCTTGGCTACACCGGCGAGTCCTCTGTGCAGGCTGCATCCTTCGACTGGGCCAAGCGTGCTTCTGCTGCTGCCTTCGTGGGTGCCAGTGTTGCCCCTGCCAAGAAGGAGAACATTGTTGCCCGCCAGGCTTTGGATCAGTCCAGCCGATATGCTGACTTGTCCCTGGATGAGGACACATTGATCAGGACAGCAGCTTCAGACTTATGATTTATGACTTATGTTTTGCTTTTGTTGAGTTGAATCAAGAGCCAACATGAGCCAACACATTAAGTTGAAATTGATTGATCTGTCTGTAATTTAGGAGGTTATTTCATATTGGATGGTGTAGAATCCCACGATACCTGGAAGTCGTTCTCCATGGATCTCCATGGTGTAACAGCCTTTCCGCCATTCATTGACGACCGTATTGCATTGCAGGAACGGCAAGCACGTGCTGGTTGCCTACATCATGAAGCCCAAGGCGGGCTATGACTACTTGGCCACCGCTGCCCACTTTGCCGCGGAGTCCTCCACTGGTACCAACGTGAACGTGTGCACCACTGACGACTTCACCAAGTCCGTGGATGCCCTGGTGTACTACATCGACCCTGACAACGAGGAGATGAAGATCGCCTACCCAACCCTGCTGTTCGACCGCAACATCACCGATGGCCGTGGCATGATGTGCTCTTTCTTGACTCTGGCCATCGGAAACAACCAGGGCAGCTTAGCAACATTTATATAAAGGCTTACGCCTGACAGCCGGGCGCCGGCCAAGCAATCTTGGCAGTAGTAGTAGTAGTAGTAGTAGTAGTAGTAGTAGTAGTAGTAGTAGTAGTAGTAGTAGTACAGTAGCAGTACAGTAGTAGTACAGTAGTAGTACAGTAGTAGTACAGTAGTAGTACAGTAGTAGTACAGTAGTAGTACAGTAGTAGTACAGTAGTAGTACAGTAGTAGTAGAGTAGTAGTACAGTAGTAGTACAGTAGTAGTAGTAGTAGTAGTAGTAGTAGTAGTAGTAGTCGTCGTCGTAGTAGTAGTAGTTGTTGTTGTTGTTGCTGTTGTAATAGTAGTAATAGTAGTAATAGTAGTAATAGTAGTAATAGTAGTAATAGTAGTAATAGTAATAATAGTAGTAATAGTAGTAATGTAATAGTAGTAATAGTAGTAATAGTAGTAATAGTAGTAATAGTAGTAATAGTAGTAATAGTAGTAATAGTAGTAATAGTAGTAATAGTAGTAAGAGTAGTAAGAGTAGTAAGAGTAGTAAGAGTAGTAAGAGTAGTAATAGTAGTAATAGTAGTAATAGTAGTAATAGTAGTAATAGTAGTAATAGTAGTAATAGTAGTAGTAACTAGAAGCAGCAGTAGCACTTCTTTCTTCTTGACGCGGTCCCCCTTTTTGTCAGCCGGGGTCGGCGGATTATAGCCAATGTAGTTGTAGCATCCCGTTTCACATTTTTTTCTTGATGGCTTTGCGGTTTGGCGATATGTTGTAGTAGTTTCAAGTGTTAACATGTCCTCGAACTTTTCCTGCGGTTGGGACACTTGTGCCAGCTTGGTATTGACAACAATAATTCTGAAACAAAGAATATTTCAAAGCAAAAAACCCTTGCTCACACACCTTCACATGAGGCATGGGCGATGTCGAGTACGGAAAGATCTACGACTTCTACCTGCCACCCGCATTCCTCAGGCTGTATGATGGTCCTTCAGTGAACGTGGAGGACATGTGGCGCATCCTGGGCCGTGGCACCACCAACGGTGGTTTGGTGGTTGGCACCATCATCAAACCAAAGCTGGGTCTGCAGCCCAAGCCTTTCGGTGAGGCGTGCTACTCCTTCTGGCAGGGAGGTGACTTCATCAAGAACGATGAGCCCCAGGGCAACCAGGTGTTCTGCCAGATGAACGAGTGCATTCCTGAGGTGGTGAAGGCCATGAGGGCTTGCGTCAAGGAGACAGGCAGCTCCAAACTCTTCTCCGCTAACATCACTGCAGATGATCCTGAGGAGATGATTGCCCGCGGCAAGTACATCATGTCTCAGTTCGGTCCTTTGTCCGAGAACTGCGCATTCTTGGTGGATGGCTATGTTGCAGGTGGAACTGCAGTGACCTGCTGCAGGCGCAACTTCCCCAAGCAGTTCTTGCACTACCACCGAGCTGGCCACGGTTCAGTGACCAGCCCCCAGACCCAGCGTGGTTACACTGCCTTCGTGCACACCAAGATCTCCCGAGTCATCGGTGCATCTGGCATCCACGTGGGCACCATGAGCTTCGGCAAGATGGAGGGTGATGCCTCCGACAAGAACATTGCTTACATGCTGCAGGATGATGAGGCCGATGGTCCTTACTACCGACAGGAGTGGCAGGGCATGAAGGAGACTACCCCCATCATCTCTGGTGGCATGAACGCCCTGCGCCTGCCAGCCTTCTTCGAGAACCTGGGACACTCCAACGTGATCCTGACTGCTGGCGGTGGCTCTTTCGGTCACAAGGACGGCCCCAAGATTGGTGCCATCTCTTGCCGTCAGGGTGAGGAGGCCTGGAAGCAGTGGAAGGCCGGCCAGTTCGGCAACATTAGCTTGAGCGATGGTGTGATTGAGTATGCCAAGACTCATGAGGAGATCAAGGGTGCTTTCTTGACCTTCCAGAAGGATGCTGACCAGATCTACCCTGGATGGAAGGAGAAGCTCGGCTACACTGGCGAGTCCTCCGTGCAGGCTGCATCCTTCGACTGGGCCAAGCGTGCTTCTGCTGCTGCCTTCGTGGGTGCCAGTGTTGCCCCTGCCAAGAAGGAGAACGTTGTTGCCCGCCAGGCTTTGGATCAGTCCAGCCGATACGCGGACTTGTCCCTGGATGAGGACACGTTGATCAGGACAGCAGCTTCAGACTTATGATTTATGACTTATGTTTTGCTTTGGTTGAGTTGAATCAAGAGCCAACATGAGCCAACACATTAAGTTGAAATTGATTGATCTGTCTGTAATTTAGGAGGTTATTTCATATTGGATGCTGTAGAATCCCACGATACCTGGAAGTCGTCCTCCACGGATATCCATGGTGTAACAGCTTTTCCGCCATTCATTGACGACTGTGTTGCATTGCAGGAACGGCAAGCACGTGCTGGTTGCCTACATCATGAAGCCCAAGGCGGGCTATGACTACTTGGCCACCGCTGCCCACTTTGCCGCGGAGTCCTCCACTGGTACCAACGTGAACGTGTGCACCACTGACGACTTCACCAAGTCTGTGGATGCCCTGGTGTACTACATCGACCCTGACAATGAGGAGATGAAGATCGCCTACCCAACCCTGCTGTTCGACCGCAACATCACCGATGGCCGCGGCATGATGTGCTCTTTCTTGACTCTGGCCATCGGAAACAACCAGGGCAGCTTAGCAACATTTATTATGGCCTAGGCAATGTAGTGACAGCAGCCCCTTTCACACTATGTTTTCTTGACGTTTTTTTTGTGTTGGCGATATGTAGTAGTAGTTCATTATCTTTGCGCTCAAACCAATTGTGTTGAATGGTGTTGGAAGAACAACACCTCCTTTCCAATCACAAGGAAACATAGAAAAACAACTTCACCACATTTCACCGCTTATACTTATGTCATATATCTATAATGCGTTTTTTGACATCGCCCACGAGATCCACTAGCAGACTGAACCCCATCTTAGCCTCAGCAGAACACCTACCTATGCTGCATCCCCTCTGCCCTTTCTATCCCTGTACTCAGTTCTTGCAGCGACTGCACATGCTACCCTAGGTGAGCATTCTACAAGGACCTTCATGTGCGAAGTGCTAATTGCACCCCCTCTGAAACCCTAGGCACATCATTCTATAGAACTGAACAAACTAAGAATAGAAAGGTCTTTCAAGTTGTACACCTTTGCCAAGCATTGACGGCCAATGTCCTCTGTGAAACAGCAAGACGACTTTGAAAACGATGCTCACTTTAAATCCTTCAAATTTGTATAAGCCCTACCACTGCGATGTATCATCAGGCGCTTGAACTGTTCGTCCTGAACTCGATTTCCGAGATCATGTCTTCTTCATCAAACATATGCTATTTTATATTCAATATAATAATATACAGACATATCACACACACACATATATATATATAAATTATTGCAACCAACATATTATTGAATACATACAAACATGCACCATGAGAACTCCCTTGGATCACATGGAATCCACGGATTTGGACTACATAGATTCACGTTGCCTCTTTAGGCATGGGCGATGTCGAGTACGGAAAGATCTACGACTTCTACCTGCCTCCCGCATTCCTCAGGCTGTATGATGGTCCTTCAGTGAACGTGGAGGACATGTGGCGCATCCTGGGCCGTGGCACCACCAACGGTGGTTTGGTGGTTGGCACCATCATCAAACCAAAGCTGGGTCTGCAGCCCAAGCCTTTCGGTGAGGCGTGCTACTCCTTCTGGCAGGGAGGTGACTTCATCAAAAACGATGAGCCCCAGGGCAACCAGGTGTTCTGCCAGATGAACGAGTGCATTCCTGAGGTGGTGAAGGCCATGAGGGCTTGCGTCAAGGAGACAGGCAGCTCCAAACTCTTCTCCGCCAACATCACTGCAGATGATCCTGAGGAGATGATTGCCCGCGGCAAGTACATCATGTCTCAGTTCGGTCCTTTGTCCGAGAACTGCGCATTCTTGGTGGATGGCTATGTTGCAGGTGGAACTGCAGTGACCTGCTGCAGGCGCAACTTCCCCAAGCAGTTCTTGCACTACCACCGAGCTGGCCACGGTTCAGTGACCAGCCCCCAGACCCAGCGTGGTTACACTGCATTCGTGCACACCAAGATCTCCCGAGTCATCGGTGCTTCTGGCATCCACGTGGGCACCATGAGCTTCGGCAAGATGGAGGGTGATGCTTCCGACAAGAACATTGCTTACATGCTGCAGGATGATGAGGCCGATGGTCCTTACTACCGACAGGAGTGGCAGGGCATGAAGGAGACCACCCCTATCATCTCTGGTGGCATGAACGCCCTGCGCTTGCCAGCCTTCTTCGAGAACCTGGGACACTCCAACGTGATCCTGACTGCTGGCGGTGGCTCTTTCGGTCACAAGGACGGCCCCAAGATTGGTGCCATCTCTTGCCGTCAGGGTGAGGAGGCCTGGAAGCAGTGGAAGGCCGGCCAGTTCGGCAACATCAGCTTGAGCGATGGTGTGATTGAGTATGCCAAGACTCATGAGGAGATCAAGGGTGCTTTCTTGACCTTCCAGAAGGATGCGGACCAGATCTACCCTGGATGGAAGGAGAAGCTTGGCTACACCGGCGAGTCCTCTGTGCAGGCTGCATCCTTCGACTGGGCCAAGCGTGGTTAGAGGTTTCCATCTCGCTACTCGACCGGCATTGAGCATAGTGATGCATAGTGTGTGTTTTAATGGGAGCAATAGCTATGATTAAATATTATGCCAATATGCATAGATTGTGGCCCAATGATGGCATAATATATGTATATATATATGCATGCATAATATTGCATAATTGTTTTGCGTCAAAGAATTATTCTTGCAGCGCCCCGAAGCCAAGGCAAGTTGCACGACAATCTGGTTTGCTTCAGGGAAGCTGAAAGCATACCTTGTTAATGTACACCCACTTGCGAAAGGCAAGATTTAACGAGCATCCTGAGGCATCCTGAGGTCTTTAGTCTTTGTGTCTGGTGCCCTCCTGCCGGTAACAAACATTACAACAAAATACAGCAAACATCAGCAAACTCATTATGATTTTCAGAGAGTAAGGCACAATGCGCAAGCGATAGCATCACTCAGCATGATTGTCGATATATGAAGGAAAGAGGAGGACAGGAAAGTGCTGCACACGACATGCTGTCAGGGTGCAATGATTCAGGAGTTTCCTGGATTTTCCTTGCTGGTTCTACAGCTGGACCACTGGGCCCGCCTGAAAACTTCTGGAGATCCAAGTGGGCTGAAAGCTGGATGTGTGAAGCAACTCTAGCCTGTCTGTTGGATCAACATGATTGAACCATGGGAATGGTGTTTGATGATATCTTGGCCCCTTGGCTTTTCGGAAGACCTCAGTTTTGGGTTCATGTCCGTTTCTCCATGAGGTGCTCGTGCACCTCATAGATAGGATCTAAAGCTCAAAGGGAAATGCAAGAGCCTACACGCCCGTTCGAAAAAAGTTTGATGGATTTTCACCGGCTCCATTTTGCAACTTGAGCAGGATGCTTCTTGTGGTGTCCCTTTGTCTCCAAGATCAGGGGAGTTCGTTGCCTCCATGTTGATCTGGTCATTTTGAGATTCCTTTGCATTTTGGTGGTCTCTGCAGCTGTTTGCCCCTTGCATTTTTACCTTTCTCCTCAGTGGTTTTGCCATGGCGCAAAGATCATCAAACCTTGTCCTTGCCGGTGCTGCTGCCGGTCACTTTGGCCAGACCTTTGGTTGCTGGTAGGACGTAGGACCCGACCTAGGACTTGTAGAGCGTGAAGAATTATTGATATGGTTTGTTTGTAGAAACGGACACAAAGGTGACGACAACACGTTGGTCAGAAGCAACGACATAAATTGCCTGACTGCCAGGTGGTTTGGCCCTGCTGAATGCTGCCTCTGATGCTTTTGTGGCTGCACCCACACCTGCCGCAGCGCCAAGTCTTCGTGGCTCCAATGCAGCCATGGCGCAGGCAAACCAGTGAAAGGGTTGTGAAAGAAACATAAAGCAACTCTCTGATCACTGTGTGGATCCTCCTTGTGGACCAGGATCCTTGCTCTTTTCAAATTGAATTCTCAGGCACAGAGCGCACCTTCTTCAAATGCTTTGCCTGCCATTGCGTGCGGCGGTGCAGTAGCGGCTGCTGCGGTTGCTGCTCAGCGAACAGGCCCAAAGCGTTCAGCTCAATCAACTTTGTTCCCAAATTCCGCCGGACGGTTCAAGTCAGAGCAATTTCAGATAAAACTTTGCCGGTGTGACACCAAGCATTGGACATGCAACTAAAGACCCGACTCTTGTCCAGGCAGATTTTTGCAAGCAGCCTACTGATTTGAATAGAGAGCGGGAGCACTTGTGGACAAAAACATCGTATCTTACAGTAGGATTGTGTCGGGCTAGGGAATGAATCAAGATGTCAATGAGTGTGAATGACTTGCAGGTCGGCAATCCCGCACCTCCAGCCTTCCGACCAGCGTTGTCCAGGTCAAGGAGCTCGGTGTTGTCCTGCTCAGCATGTTGGTTGCGTGCGTGATTCCCTTTTTTTCGAACAAAAGATTGAGAAAAAGTAGACATGGATCATCCTGGTTCTCTCTTTTGACATTGCGTGAAAGGATTTTAAATCAGATATTCAGATAGTATACATCTTGAGGACAGCTGCGTCACTCGACGTGCTTTGGACCAGTCCAGCCGCTACGCTGACCTCTCCCTGGACGAGGACACCCTGATCCGAAATGGCAGTTACCTCAGCAAGATCTGACGCACACTGATTTCAGACAATAGTCCAGACGGACTTCAGCCCTTTTTATGTGTGCAGGGATATTGAACATTTGGCATCACTGTTTTGAAGTGAAATCCAAGGCAAGCACGTGCTGGTTGCCTACATCATGAAGCCCAAGGCGGGCTATGACTACTTGGCCACCGCTGCCCACTTTGCCGCGGAGTCCTCCACTGGTACCAACGTGAACGTGTGCACCACTGATGACTTCACCAAGTCTGTGGATGCCCTGGTGTACTACATCGACCCTGACAATGAGGAGATGAAGATCGCCTACCCAACCCTGCTGTTCGACCGCAACATCACCGATGGCCGCGGAATGATGTGCTCTTTCTTGACCTTGGCCATTGGAAACAATCAGGGCAGCCTGGTAGTACTTATTGGTTTAGTGACTAGTGTATATAGTAGTCCTCCAGACGTGTTTTGGTATTCGGACTAGTGAGTTGGTGTCAACTGAATTTCAGGTTGAGTTTGACATTGTATGGCATGTTTTGCAGCAAAGCAGTAGCCCCTGCTTCACATGAGGTATGGGCGATGTCGAGTACGGAAAGATCTACGACTTCTACCTGCCTCCCGCATTCCTCAGGCTGTATGATGGTCCTTCAGTGAACGTGGAGGACATGTGGCGCATCCTGGGCCGTGGCACCACCAACGGTGGTTTGGTGGTTGGCACCATCATCAAGCCAAAGCTGGGTCTGCAGCCCAAGCCTTTCGGTGAGGCGTGCTACTCCTTCTGGCAGGGAGGTGACTTCATCAAGAACGACGAGCCCCAGGGCAACCAGGTGTTCTGCCAGATGAACGAGTGCATTCCTGAGGTGGTGAAGGCCATGAGGGCTTGCGTCAAGGAGACAGGCAGCTCCAAGCTCTTCTCCGCCAACATCACTGCAGATGATCCTGAGGAGATGATTGCCCGTGGCAAGTACATCATGTCTCAGTTCGGTCCTTTGTCCGAGAACTGCGCATTCTTGGTGGATGGCTATGTTGCAGGTGGAACTGCAGTGACCTGCTGCAGGCGCAACTTCCCCAAGCAGTTCTTGCACTACCACCGAGCCGGTCACGGTTCAGTGACCAGCCCCCAGACCCAGCGTGGTTACACTGCCTTTGTGCACACCAAGATCTCCCGAGTCATCGGTGCTTCTGGCATCCACGTGGGCACCATGAGCTTCGGCAAGATGGAGGGTGATGCCTCCGACAAGAACATTGCCTACATGCTGCAGGATGATGAGGCCGATGGTCCTTACTACCGACAGGAGTGGCAGGGCATGAAGGAGACCACTCCCATCATCTCTGGTGGCATGAACGCCCTGCGCCTGCCAGCCTTCTTTGAGAACCTGGGACACTCCAATGTGATCCTGACTGCTGGCGGTGGCTCTTTCGGTCACAAGGACGGCCCCAAGATTGGTGCCATTTCTTGCCGTCAGGGTGAGGAGGCCTGGAAGCAGTGGAAGGCCGGCCAGTTCGGCAACATTAGCTTGAGCGATGGTGTGATTGAGTATGCCAAGACCCATGAGGAGATCAAGGGTGCTTTCTTGACCTTCCAGAAGGATGCTGACCAGATCTACCCTGGATGGAAGGAGAAGCTTGGCTACACTGGCGAGTCCTCCGTGCAGGCTGCATCCTTCGACTGGGCCAAGCGTGCTTCTGCTGCTGCCTTCGTGGGTGCCAGTGTTGCCCCTGCCAAGAAGGAGAACGTTGTTGCCCGCCAGGCTTTGGATCAGTCCAGCCGATACGCGGACTTGTCCCTGGATGAGGACACGTTGATCAGGACAGAAGCTTCAGACTTATGATTTCGTTGAGTAAAATCAAGAGCCAACAAAGTTATACAATAAGTTGAAATTGTTTGATCTGTCTGTAATTTAGGAGGTTATTTCATATTGGATGCTGTAGAATCCCAAGATACCTGGAAGTCGTTCTCCATAGACCTCCATGGTCTAACAACCTTTCCGCCATTCATTGACGACCGTGTTGCATTGCAGGAACGGCAAGCACGTGCTGGTTGCCTACATCATGAAGCCCAAGGCGGGCTATGACTACTTGGCCACCGCTGCCCACTTTGCCGCGGAGTCCTCCACTGGTACCAACGTGAACGTGTGCACCACTGATGACTTCACCAAGTCTGTGGATGCCCTGGTGTACTACATCGACCCTGACAATGAGGAGATGAAGATCGCCTACCCAACCCTGCTGTTCGACCGCAACATCACCGATGGCCGCGGAATGATGTGCTCTTTCTTGACCTTGGCCATTGGAAACAATCAGGGCAGCCTGGTAGTACTTATTGGTTTAGTGACTAGTGTATATAGTAGTCCTCCAGACGTGTTTTGGTATTCGGACTAGTGAGTTGGTGTCAACTGAATTTCAGGTTGAGTTGGACATTGTATGGCATGTTTTGCAGCAAAGCAGTAGCCCCTGCTTCACATGAGGTATGGGCGATGTCGAGTACGGAAAGATCTACGACTTCTACCTGCCTCCCGCATTCCTCAGGCTGTATGATGGTCCTTCAGTGAACGTGGAGGACATGTGGCGCATCCTGGGCCGTGGCACCACCAACGGTGGTTTGGTGGTTGGCACCATCATCAAGCCAAAGCTGGGTCTGCAGCCCAAGCCTTTCGGTGAGGCGTGCTACTCCTTCTGGCAGGGAGGTGACTTCATCAAGAACGACGAGCCCCAGGGCAACCAGGTGTTCTGCCAGATGAACGAGTGCATTCCTGAGGTGGTGAAGGCCATGAGGGCTTGCGTCAAGGAGACAGGCAGCTCCAAGCTCTTCTCCGCCAACATCACTGCAGATGATCCTGAGGAGATGATTGCCCGCGGCAAGTACATCATGTCTCAGTTCGGTCCTTTGTCCGAGAACTGCGCATTCTTGGTTGATGGCTATGTTGCAGGTGGAACTGCAGTGACCTGCTGCAGGCGCAACTTCCCCAAGCAGTTCTTGCACTACCACCGAGCCGGCCACGGTTCAGTGACCAGCCCCCAGACCCAGCGTGGTTACACTGCATTCGTGCACACCAAGATCTCCCGAGTCATCGGTGCTTCTGGCATCCACGTGGGCACCATGAGCTTCGGCAAGATGGAGGGTGATGCTTCCGACAAGAACATTGCTTACATGCTGCAGGATGATGAGGCCGATGGTCCTTACTACCGACAGGAGTGGCAGGGCATGAAGGAGACCACCCCCATCATCTCTGGTGGCATGAACGCCCTGCGCCTGCCAGCCTTCTTTGAGAACCTGGGACACTCCAACGTGATCCTGACTGCCGGCGGTGGCTCTTTTGGTCACAAGGACGGCCCCAAGATTGGTGCCATCTCTTGCCGTCAGGGTGAGGAGGCCTGGAAGCAGTGGAAGGCCGGCCAGTTCGGCAACATTAGCTTGAGCGATGGTGTGATTGAGTATGCCAAGACTCATGAGGAGATCAAGGGTGCTTTCTTGACCTTCCAGAAGGATGCTGACCAGATCTACCCTGGATGGAAGGAGAAGCTCGGCTACACTGGCGAGTCCTCCGTGCAGGCTGCATCCTTCGACTGGGCCAAGCGTGCTTCTGCTGCTGCCTTCGTGGGTGCCAGTGTTGCCCCTGCCAAGAAGGAGAACGTTGTTGCCCGCCAGGCTTTGGATCAGTCCAGCCGATACGCGGACTTGTCCCTGGATGAGGACACGTTGATCAGGACAGAAGCTTCAGACTTATGATTTCGTTGAGTAAAATCAAGAGCCAACAAAGTTATACAATAAGTTGAAATTGTTTGATCTGTCTGTAATTTAGGAGGTTATTTCATATTGGATGCTGTAGAATCCCACGATACCTGGAAGTCGTTCTCCATAGACCTCCATGGTGTAACAACCTTTCCGCCATTCATTGACGACCGTGTTGCATTGCAGGAACGGCAAGCACGTGCTGGTTGCCTACATCATGAAGCCCAAGGCGGGCTATGACTACTTGGCCACCGCTGCCCACTTTGCCGCGGAGTCCTCCACTGGTACCAACGTGAACGTGTGCACCACTGATGACTTCACCAAGTCTGTGGATGCCCTGGTGTACTACATCGACCCTGACAATGAGGAGATGAAGATCGCCTACCCAACCCTGCTGTTCGACCGCAACATCACCGATGGCCGCGGAATGATGTGCTCTTTCTTGACCTTGGCCATTGGAAACAATCAGGGCAGCCTGGTAGTACTTATTGGTTTAGTGACTAGTGTATATAGTAGTCCTCCAGACGTGTTTTGGTATTCGGACTAGTGAGTTGGTGTCAACTGAATTTCAGGTTGAGTTTGACATTGTATGGCATGTTTTGCAGCAAAGCAGTAGCCCCTGCTTCACATGAGGTATGGGCGATGTCGAGTACGGAAAGATCTACGACTTCTACCTGCCTCCCGCATTCCTCAGGCTGTATGATGGTCCTTCAGTGAACGTGGAGGACATGTGGCGCATCCTGGGCCGTGGCACCACCAACGGTGGTTTGGTGGTTGGCACCATCATCAAACCAAAGCTGGGTCTGCAGCCCAAGCCTTTCGGTGAGGCGTGCTACTCCTTCTGGCAGGGAGGTGACTTCATCAAGAACGATGAGCCCCAGGGCAACCAGGTGTTCTGCCAGATGAACGAGTGCATTCCTGAGGTGGTGAAGGCCATGAGGGCTTGCGTCAAGGAGACAGGCAGCTCCAAACTCTTCTCCGCTAACATCACTGCAGATGATCCTGAGGAGATGATTGCCCGCGGCAAGTACATCATGTCTCAGTTCGGTCCTTTGTCCGAGAACTGCGCATTCTTGGTGGATGGCTATGTTGCAGGTGGAACTGCAGTGACCTGCTGCAGGCGCAACTTCCCCAAGCAGTTCTTGCACTACCACCGAGCCGGCCACGGTTCAGTGACCAGCCCCCAGACCCAGCGTGGTTACACTGCCTTTGTGCACACCAAGATCTCCCGAGTCATCGGTGCTTCTGGCATCCACGTGGGCACCATGAGCTTCGGCAAGATGGAGGGTGATGCCTCCGACAAGAACATTGCTTACATGCTGCAGGATGATGAGGCCGATGGTCCTTACTACCGACAGGAGTGGCAGGGCATGAAGGAGACCACCCCCATCATCTCTGGTGGCATGAACGCCCTGCGCCTGCCAGCCTTCTTCGAGAACCTGGGACACTCCAACGTGATCCTGACTGCCGGCGGTGGCTCCTTCGGTCACAAGGACGGCCCCAAGATTGGTGCCATCTCTTGCCGTCAGGGTGAGGAGGCCTGGAAGCAGTGGAAGGCCGGCCAGTTCGGCAACATTAGCTTGAGCGATGGCGTGATCGAGTATGCGAAGACTCATGAGGAGATCAAGGGTGCTTTCTTGACCTTCCAGAAGGATGCGGACCAGATCTACCCTGGATGGAAGGAGAAGCTTGGCTACACCGGCGAGTCCTCCGTGCAGGCTGCATCCTTTGACTGGGCCAAGCGCGCTTAGGTGTTTTGCGGCTCGGCTGTTTATGTCATTTTTTTTTGAAGTCTTGCATACGTTGGTCCCATGTCCAGCACTGCTTCATGATGTATCTACTGAGAGTCTCTATGCGTATATTATACTACGTATATTACATTATAATTATATATACTAAATTAACATACATGATATTATATAATTACATTACATTACATTATATCATATTATTATATTATATTAATATTTTAATTATATGACACCATATTATATTATATTATATTATGTTATATTATATTATATTATATTATATTATACTATTTTATATTACATTATATTATACTTGTATTATATTACATTATATATTGTATTGTATTATATTTCATTATATTATACTTATATTATATTACATTATATATTGTATTGTATTATATTTCATTGTATTATACTTATATTATATTACATTATATATTGTATTGTATTATATTACATTATATTGTATTGTAGTATATTGCATTAATATTACTATATTCTATATTATTGTATTGTATTGTGTTGTATTGTATTATATCATAGTATGTTATGTTGTATTTGATCCATTTGCCAATATCTCCGTGTTCTCCTTCTATTCCTCCATGACCTATGCCTTCAGCCTCATCATCGTCCTCATCCCCACTCGCACCCTCATCCTTATCGTCGTTCTCACTGCCATCCTGATCAGCAGTTTATAACTGCATCGGAAAGGGGGGGGTCAATGGTTTCGAAAAGTAACTATGCTTCTCCTATCTTCTCCTGACAAGAGTCTTGTCGAATAGCGGGAACAGTTTTACGTTGTGAACTTTCTGGAGAAACTGCCTGGCAGGTCATGATTTTGTGCTTTCGTCAGTCGGATGTTTCGGATGTTTCTAAGAAGTGCAGTTTTCCGTGCCCCTTTCCGTTTCAAAGGAATAGCAGGTGAAAGAGTCTGCTGAAGGGGCCTTTTCCAGAAACCTGAATCGAGGTTGCAATCTTTCATGAAGGTCGGTGGTGACAGGATTCTTGCAATGATTCAAAATTCATGTTGGTCAAAAGCAGAGAGGAGGTACTCAAGTATCTTCTGCTCTGACGCAGCTCGTTGCGAGCAAAGAAAAAGAACCTGCTGCAGCCCAGGAACCCTCAGACAAGACCGTAAAACATATTGAACACAATCCTACCGTGGGCAATCATACTTGTATTTTGTCAGTCCAACATCTTCGCAGAGTGTAGCCCCTAAATTGGCAGCAAGGCCCAATCCTTTTTCACAGGCTGGTTGAAACTTCAGCTTTTGTCTTGCTGAAATGGGCTGAGATCTGCAGCCCTTAACTCAAGTGACTCAAGCTCTCACTTGAAGTGACAAGTCGTTCAAAGTCTGAGACATTCGCAGACCATGGCGGCAGTCTTTCCAGCGAACCAGGTGATTGTGGTCGGAGGCGGTCTTGCAGGTATGTCTGCCGCAAACACTGTGGTGGAGAATGGTGGCAGGACACCGTTAGGAACAGCTAAGGTTGGTCATGTGCTCTCACCTTTTGGTTCCTGTTGCATTTTTCTGACTCTGGAAATATCGTCTAGTCTAGTAAATATACACATAAAGACGCCAGCTCTGTCCTTAGACGACACACGTTTGAAAAAGGGGCATTCGCCAAAGAGCGGTTGTCCCTGTATTATCTGTATTCAACAGGACTTTGTTGCTGGACAAGAGTTCCTTCTGCGGTGGCAACAGCACCAAAGCGACCAGTGGCATCAATGGAGCTGGCACCAAGACTCAGAAGACCAAGTCTATCCCTGATACTGCTGACATTTTTGTGGCCGATACATTAAAGGGTGGTGCCAAGAAGCCGGAGTTGGCCAAGGTGTTGTGCGTGAACTCTGCGGCGGATGTGGATTGGTTGGTGGACAAGTTTGACCTGGACCTCTCCTTGGTGGCCCGACTGGGTGGACACTCGCAGCCCCGCACGCACCGTGGCAAGGAGCGATTCCCTGGTATGACCATCACCTATGTAGCTGGGACATGCTGGGACTCAAGCTCTTTGCTTTGTTCAGCACCACAACTTGAGACGACAACTCAAGTGCATCTGATGTACGTAAATTCTTGCGACAGAACTAGAATGCTTAAGAATTTTTATGAAACTTGTGGCATCTTGGGGCTAATACGAACGATCGCTTCGTCCGTCAACCGAGGCCTTGATCCAGATGTTGGAGAAGGTGGCGGAGAAGACCAACCGTGCCAGGATCATTACGAAGGCTGAGGTCTTCAAACTGCTCCAGAACGGCCGCAATGTGGTGGGATGTGAGTACCGAAAGGCTGGAAAGGTGGTGAAGGACTGCAAGATCCAAACAGACATATTTCGCAGAATCTTGTGCCATCCCTGGAAAGGTTGACACTTCTTTGATAAGCCGGAGTGGCCAAAAAAAGTGGCCAACAGCATTGACATTGCCTCATTTTGACTGTTAGTGGTACACTTTAATGTATTTTAATATCATTACTTTATTGATTCCTACCGTAGTTACTGACTATTTTGATCTATTTTGATTCTCATAAGATCATCAGATCATCACATATCAATACAATTCAATACATATTCAAATTGTTCCATACATTAAATGAATATAAATGGATACACCGTTTGTTTTTTTTCCGTAACTGGTAGATCCTTCGGGTTTTCAACACGGCCAGTTTGGCCCCAGGAGTTTGGCCCCATGATTTTGGCCTCTGGCGGCTTCGGCGCGGACTTTGGGTCCGACTCCTTGCTGGCCACGTACCGCCCCGACTTGTTGCACCTGCCCACCACCAACGGAGAGCATTGCACAGGCCGGGGTCATGGTGCGCAGGTGCTGTTGGAATTGAAATGATGGAAGCCGAGATCCATGAGATCCTTCATCATTGAAGAAGGACAGTCAATGATAATTATTCAAGGGGTAGTTTTTTGCGTCCAAATGATTGTTTCAGAGATGTAGACTTGGCTGGTCAGGCGATGCTATCAAGATGGGAGAGGCCATTGGAGCTGCCACCATCGACCTTGAATGGGTCCAGGCAGGTGGAAGATTTGCACCTCCAAAGTGGGAAAACGTCAACATCCTTCTGATGCATTTCGACGCAGATAGACAAGTCATTCTGAGTTCCGTCTTTGAACGCCCTACCAGACACATACCAGCAGATCGCTCACACGATCCCATGTTGCAGGACATTTCTGTGGCTACGGTATTTTTGTTTTTTTAGATTTCCCCGTTTTTTTTTTCAGACTTCAGTTTTGAAGGGTCAAGCAAGCAAGCCAGCCAGCCAGCCAGCAAGCAAGCAACCAAGGGAGGACGGCCAGCAAGCAAGGGAGGGAGGGGGAAAAAATGTAAAAAAAGTTGATTCAGTGAAGTTTTCTAAACTAATATCATACTCGTAGCAGTATAACAAATCATTTTTTTTCAAAAAACACATAACAGTCCAAAAAGTCAGTTTATATATTGTTAATTGCTTCATGTTCTCAACAATATCAAAACATAATTACCTCATTCAATTTTTAAAAATCATAGCAGTCAAAGCATATTTACCTCATTCAATTTTTCAAAATCATAGCAGTCAAAGCATACTTACCTCAGTCAATTTTTCAAAATCATAGCAGTCAAAGCATACTTACCTCAATTCATTTTTTCAAATTCATGGCAGTCAAAAGCATTATGATCTTATTCATTTTACAAAATCCTATCCATCAACCGTTCCTAAATTCCTTTTATGCTTCTCTGTTTTTAAATGTCTTGAATAACATTGTGCCTTCATTGATGACTTACATACATTACAAAAGGCAACTTTATCACGATAGTTTTGTATTTGTTCCTGTTTCTTTTTTCTATATTCTTCATCTTCTTTATATTTAGTTCTTCGTGTTTCATTCACTTTATCTTTATGTTTGTCATAGTTCTTTCTCTTGTATTCCAAGCATGTCTTACAAGTCTTCAATCCATCTTCAAAATTATCAATTGGTAAATCTTTAACACAGTATCTACAAAATTTATCCATTACATACAAATATGATTATCTTCTTAAATGTCTTTTCCAAGAATTCCTATAACAACCAAAAACAAAAACAAACCAAGCGAAGAACACCATTAAAAACACAATAGACAACAATAAACATTATTCCCTACCCTTTAATAGCCCTATCTTACAAATCCATAATTCTAATAAATAAATATTATTAGAAATATGTTAGTAGTATATATCTTCAATAATTATCAATTCAAAATGAAATGCTTGTATTCCTATTATACTATCTTTATCTTGGTCTTCTTCTATGTCGGTATTTATTTCTTCATCTGCTTTATTCAATACATCTTCTATATTATCTTCATCTACATATTCATCAAAGTCATGCATGAAGTAAATTTCTCTATAACTAAATTCATTGTCTCCATATTCTTTATCTGGGAGTTTTGCTACTATTTGGACTTCAATATCAAGTTTAACTTATCTTCTTCTACTTCTTCATAAATCAAAGATAGTAATTTTTCTTTTTCTTCTGTTATGATGTTTCCTATACTTTTTAAACCAAATGGCACTCCCTCTCTCACAATACAGTATTCAATTATTTTTTTTCTGGGTTTCAAATGTCTTGTTATTTTAGGACCAAATCTTGATATTTTATGTTTGTTCCGTATTCTCTTCAATGCTTCACTATGCTTTATTGACAAATATTTAGGGTCTCCAATTTTATAAGGAACGATCTTACGCAACGCATCAACAGGCAAACCCTTCATACAATTCGTCTTACAAAAACTTATATAAATAACTTAGTCTTTCAGTATATATTCCAAGATTAAAATATAGAATTCTTTGAAAAACTACTTAAAGATAAATTAACTAAATAAAATATATACTATTATATGATGAAAAATGTTATAAACTATTTATTGAGTAATGATTTAGCAGAAATACCAAAACGAGGAAGAAGAGAATTAAAGTCAATAATAATAGATGATAAGAAATTCAGATACAACAAAGACAAACCAATATCTAGTGTCTTAACAAAGAAACTACTGACGGTCAAGAAAACTAATGAATACAGAAGTTATGCTTTAAACAAGGCAAAAGATGCGTTCAGTGAAGGAAGAGTGAGACAAATACTAACCAAACACGCAATCAGAAATAAATTTAGGGTCAGAGATATTCAATCAGCATTTAGAAGATACGCTAATTCAATAGTTTTAGAAAATAAACACTTTCAAGGAGAAAGGGGATTAGAAATGATTGCGCGCCAAAAACAAAGACTATCAGATTTTTTAAGAAATAATAGAAGCATGAAACTTAACATAAGAACGGAAGGATTATTTGAAAAACCTGAATTTGATGGTGGAGGAAATGAATTAGGAAGTCAGGAACTTGTATATGCCCTACCATCAACCCCCTTCAATATTAGTAATGAGGATGAACTGACGCAAGCATTAGAAGACAGTGTTAAACAAATCTTATTACAAATGCATAATTTAGAAGCATCAGCATCCAATTTAAGATTTAAGAAGATTTTGACAATAACCATTCACTATGACAAATATGACCCAACAAGAGCAGGGAGATACATAGAATTACCTGAATGGATTAAGCTAAAAAAGGCATGTATCAACATAAAGAACAGAGACCAAAAATGCTTCAAATATTGTATTCAATCCGTAGTCTATGACAAAATAAGCAAACACCACCCAGAGGAAATGTTCCACTATAATAAACTGAAAGATGATATTTTGAACTGGGACGGGGTACATGTTCCAACTGGCAATAGGGACATTGACAGATTTGAAGAGAACAATAAATCAGTTTCAATAAATGTGTTTGAACCCGATGACTGCTTAAATGATAATAAGATTATATTGCATAGAGGCACTAAAAATAGAAATGCTAAATACGAAATTGATTTACTAAAAATCTATGATGAAGATAATAGTTATCACTACGTATTAGTTAAAAATAAATGTAGATTATTAAACGGTCAAAGCAGTAGCAACACAAATAAAAAGTTTTATTGCCACCATTGTTTAAATCCCTTTCAATCAGAAAAGGTATATAAGAAACATCTTGAAAACGGATGTATGGCATCAGAAGGACAACAAACAAAGATGCCAGATAAAGACACCTATATAGAATTTAGAATTTGAAAAGCATAATACTAAATTGCCTTGTCCTTTTGTAATCTATGGTGATTTTGAATGTCTAACGACTAACTCTAAAAATGGTATAAAAGGCACATATCAAGAACATAAACCTTGCGGTTATATGTTGAATGTTGTAAGCAGGATTGATAATACTTGCAAACTGTATTTATACAGGGGTGAGGATTGTATGAAACACTTTGTAGAGAAACTGACTGAAATTAAGAAAGATTTATTTGAAAAGATGAATGTTAATAAACCAATGGATTCATTAACTTACGAACAAAAGACAGAATTTAGAAACGCGACCCACTGCTCTATATGTAATAAGAAATTTCAACCTGATGATACAAAAGTCCAAGACCACTGCCACTTCACAGGCAAATACAGAGGCGCGGCGCATGTAAAATGTAATTTGGATTATTCATTTAGGTATTTTAAAATCCCTATTTTCTTTCATAATCTAAAAAATTATGACGCTCACTTAATCATAGCAAAAGCAAATGAACTAAACATAGAACTAAACCAAAACAAAAGAATAGATGTAATAGCACAAAACAGCGAAAAGTTCATAACCTTTTCATTTGGCGCTTGTCAGTTTAAAGACAGTTTTGCTTTCTTGACTGCTTCATTAGATAAGTTAGTTAGATTAAACAAATATGAAGGAAATGAAAAGATTAAAGATTGGGAAATTCGTTTCAGATATACAAGCACCAACCCGTATATCAAATCTAAAACTGATTTGAATTTGCTGACTGATAAGGGTGTATATCCCTATGACTATATGAACTCATGGGATAAATTTGATGAAATAAAGCTACCAAAGAAAGAAGACTTTTATAGTCAATTATACGAAGAAAACATAACTGACAAAGACTACGCCAGAGCAAATATTGTATGGAAACATTTTAACATAAAAAATCTTGGTGAATATCATGATTTGTATTTGATGACTGATGTATATTTACTGGCTGATGTTTTTGAAAATTTTAGGGATATGTGTTTGAACTATTATGGATTAGACCCAGCATATTATATCACTTTACCTAACTATTCTTGGAATGCCTTTTTATCACTAACAGGAGGTAGACTTCAACAAATCCACATAAAAGAAATGTATGAGATGATTGAAAAAGGATTGAGAGGAGGAATGACACAGTGCTCCTTCAAGAAAGTAGAAGCAAACAATAAATACATGAATGAAGATTATGATAAATCTAAACCCTCATCATACATAAGTCATTTAGATGCGAATAATCTTTACGGATTAGCAATGTGTAAGAAACTGCCTTATGATGATTTTAAATGGTATTACGGTAGAATGGATGAGAAGAGGGTATATAATGAAATATAATGATGATGATGACATAGGATACATATTAGAAGTTGATTTAGATTATCCAAAGGAACTTCATGATTTACATAAAGACTACCCATTAGCACCTGAAATCATGTGTATCAATGAGAGTATGCTTTCACAAGTCCAAAAGGATATACACAAATACTATTATGGAAAAGATGCCAGTGATGAAGTGGGTCGCGTTTCTAAATTCTGTCTTTTGTTCGTAAGTTAATGCACCCATTGGTTTATTAACATTCATCTTTTCAAATATATCTTTCTTAATTTCAGTCAGTTTCTCTACAAAGTGTTTCATACAATCCTCACCCCTGTATAAATACAGTTTGCAAGTATTATCAATCCTGCTTACAACATTCAACATATAACCGCAAGGTTTATGTTCTTGATATGTGCCTTTTATACCATTTTTAGAGTTAGTCGTTAGACATTCAAAATCACCATAGATTACAAAAGGACAAGGCAATTTAGTATTATGCTTTTCAAATTCTATATAGGTGTCTTTATCTGGCATCTTTGTTTGTTGTCCTTCTGATGCCATACATCCGTTTTCAAGATGTTTCTTATATACCTTTTCTGATTGAAAGGGATTTAAACAATGGTGGCAATAAAACTTTTTATTTGTGTTGCTACTGCTTTGACCGTTTAATAATCTACATTTATTTTTAACTAATACGTAGTGATAACTATTATTTTCATCATAGATTTTTAGTAAATCAATTTCGTATTTAGCATTTCTATTTTTAGTGCCTCTATGCAATATAATCTTATTATCATTTAAGCAGTCATCGGGTTCAAACACATTTATTGAAACTGATTTATTGTTCTCTTCAAATCTGTCAATGTCCCTATTGCCAGTTGGAACATGTACCCCGTCCCAGTTCAAAATATCATCTTTCAGTTTATTATAGTGGAACATTTCCTCTGGGTGGTGTTTGCTTATTTTGTCATAGACTACGGATTGAATACAATATTTTAAGCATTTTTGGTCTCTGTTCTTTATGTTGATACATGCCTTTTTTAGCTTAATCCATTCAGGTAATTCTATGTATCTCCCTGCTCTTGTTGGGTCATATTTGTCATAGTGAATGGTTATTGTCAAAATCTTCTTAAATCTTAAATTGGATGCTGATGCTTCTAAATTCTGTATTTGTAATAAGATTTGTTTAACACTGTCTTCTAATGCTTGCGTCAGTTCATCCTCATTACTAATATTGAAGCGGGTTGATGGTAGGGCATATACAAGTTCCTGACTTCCTAATTCATTTCCTCCATCATCAAATTCAGGTTTTTCAAATAATCCTTCCGTTCTTATGTTAAGTTTCATGCTTCTATTATTTCTTAAAAAATCTGATAGTCTTTGTTTTTGGCGCGCAATCATTTCTAATCCCCTTTCTCCTTGAAAGTGTTTATTTTCTAAAACTATTGAATTAGCGTATCTTCTAAATGCTGATTGAATATCTCTGACCCTAAATTTATTTCTGATTGCGTGTTTGGTTAGTATTTGTCTCACTCTTCCTTCACTGAACGCATCTTTTGCCTTGTTTAAAGCATAACTTCTGTATTCATTAGTTTTCTTGACCGTCAGTAGTTTCTTTGTTAAGACACTAGATATTGGTTTGTTTTTGTTGTATCTGAATTTCTTATCATCTATTATTATTGACTTTAATTCTCTTCTTCCTCGTTTTGGTATTTCTGCTAAATCATTACTCAATAAATAGTTTATAACATTTTTCATCATATAATAGTATATATTTTATTTAGTTAATTTATCTTTAAGTAGTTTTTCAAAGAATTCTATATTTTAATCTTGGAATATATACTGAAAGACTAAGTTATTTATATAAGTTTTTGTAAGACGAATTGTATGAAGGGTTTGCCTGTTGATGCGTTGCTTAAGATCGTTCCTTATAAAATTGGAGACCCTAAATATTTGTCAATAAAGCATAGTGAAGCATTGAAGAGAATACGGAACAAACATAAAATATCAAGATTTGGTCCTAAAATAACAAGACATTTGAAACCAAGAAAAAAATGTAATTGAATACTGTATTGTGAGAGAGGGAGTGCCATTTGGTTTAAAAAGTATAGGAAACATCATGACAGAAGAAAAGAAAAATTACTATCTTTGATTTATGAAGAAGTAGAAGAAGATAAGTTAAACTTGATATTGAAGTCCAAATAGTAGCAAAACTCCCAGATAAAGAATATGGAGACAATGAGTTTAGTTATAGAGAAATTTACTTCATGCATGACTTTGATGAATATGTAGATGAAGATAATATAGAAGATGTATTGAATAAAGCAGATGAAGAAATAAATACCGACATAGAAGAAGACCAAGATAAAGATAGTATAATAGGAATACAAGCGTTTCATTTTGAATTGATAATTATTGAAGATATATACTGTACTACTAACATATTTCTAATAATATTTATTTATTAGAATTATGGATTTGTAAGATAGGGTTATTAAAGGGTAGGGAATAATGTTTATTGTTGTATATTGTTTTTTTTTTTTTTTAATGGTGTTCTTCGCTTGGTTTGTTTTTGTTTTTGGTTGTTATAGGAATTCTTGGAAAAGACATTTAAGAAGATAATCATATTTGTATGTAATGGATAAATTTTGTAGATACTGTGTTAAAGATTTACCAATTGATAATTTTGAAGATGGATTGAAGACTTGTAAGACATGCTTGGAATACAAGAGAAAGAACTATGACAAACATAAAGATAAAGTGAATGAAACACGAAGACCTAAATATAAAGAAGATGAAGAATATAGAAAAAAGAAACAGGAACAAGTACAAAACTATCGTGATAAAGTTGCCTTTTGTAATGTATGTAATTCACCAATGAAGGCACAATGTTATTCAAGACATTTAAAAACAGAGAAGCATAAAAGGAATTTAGGAACGGTTGATGGATAGGATTTTGTAAAATGAATAAGGTCATAATGCTTTTGACTGCCATGAATTTGAAAAAATGAATGAGGTAAGTATGCTTTGACTGCTATGATTTTGAAAAATTGACTGAGGTAAGTATGCTTTGACTGCTATGATTTTGAAAAATTGAATGAGGTAAGTATGCTTTGACTGCTATGATTTTTAAAAATTGAATGAGGTAATTATGTTTTGATATTGTTGAGAAAAATGAAGCAATTAACAATATATAAACTGGCTTTTTGGACTGTTATGTTTTTTTTTTTGAAAAAATGATTTGTTATACTGCTATGATATTAGTTTAGAAAACTTCACTGAAACAACTTTTTTTACATTTTTTGGGGGGACAGCCAGCGGCAAGCCTGCCTGCCTGCCTGCTTGCCAGCCAGCAAGCAAGCAAAGGAGGGAGGGAGCATAATCGAACCCGAAATTAACACCTGAAACAGACCAAGTTCCAGTAAATTTTAAACGAGCCCCCAAAGAATCCCGTAGCCGTAAAGCAACCTTACATAGACCCTAAACAAACCTAAACCAAGCCTGAGCGTACCGGTCAGAAACAGGAAACCAAACAGAAATAGACCTTTCCAAACCTAAATAAATAAACATAAACATCCATAAACTAAATTTAAGCAAGCTACACAAACCCTGAATAATTTCAAGCCAGCCCCGAATAAGCACCTTAAACCAACCCGAAATAAATTCAATCCAAGCTTGAACAAACCCTAAGCCAACCCGCAAGAAACACTTTGAACCAACCCTAAACAAAGACCTCGGAGAAATCAAAAAAAACATATTAAAATCTTAAACGAACGGTAAACACACATTTTCAACCAAACCTAACTAAAAAAAACATAAGCCTACAACAAGTTACACAAACCATCAACCTAGGGAAACACAACAACCTTAAAACAAATTCTACATCGACCTTAAATCAATCAGAAGCAAACCCTAAATCAACCGTGAAGAAACCCTAACCAACCCTAAATAAACACCTTAAAGATGCCTTAATAAATCCCCAACCACCAACCATCAATGAACACCTGAAACCAGCTGTAAATGGGCCCGCGGCCGGCCATCAGAGGGCTGCTTGAATCCTTGGGTCGACTTTAAACCATAAACCAACCATGAAGAGACGTCCTGGACGAGCCTAAATCTAACCCAAATCAGCCTTAAATCAAGACCTTAAACTCTTCAAAGCAATAACGAAACTTGAAAGAAACATTTCAAACCAATTCTAAATAAGCGTTAAACCATCCCCAAACAACCCCGCAAACCAGTTTTGAATATATAGACCGTATCAGCCAACCCTAAATAAACCCTGAATGTACCCGAAAGAAACAGCACCAACCAAACTTAAATAAATCCTAGCACATCTAAATATTCCATAAACCAACTCTAACTAAATTATTTTCTTCGAGTGGTCCGACCCATAACATTCTGTCTGACATATATTCTGACATTCTATCTTTCCTTATCTGGCATTCTATCTGACATCTATTCTGACATTTTCTCTGACATTCTACTAGGCATTCTTTCTGACATTCTATGTGACATCTTGCACTCGCAATTGAGATCCCGCAGTGCCCACTGAGATCCGGCTCTCGCAGTTGAGGTCCGGCAGTGGCCACTGATCTGGCGCTCGCAGCAGAAACAACCCCTAAATCAACCCGAAACCAACCCTAAACAAAGTTTTCAACCAACCTTAAACAAACCCTAAACCAATCGCAAATAAACCCCAAACCAACCCGTCATACCTACTGAACCAACCCTCAATAAACACTAAACGCACCGAAAATGAACCATAAATCAAACCCTAAATGAACCTTGAATCTGGCGCATGTATTTTTGGCGATTTTCCCACAATGGGTTGAAGCGAGAGCATGTTTCCGCGCGAAAGCAGCCTCCCGCAGGTTGGTGGTGTTTTCTGCAGTAGGGCAGAAGGCCTGAAATAAAATCACCGTGAAATGTGAAACAAACCCTGGGGAAACCGGTGCCCCATTTCTGTGGCGTTTTGCCGTTGCTTCATTCAATTCATGACGGATGAACAATCACAATAGTCATCACAATTTCACGATCATCATGGTCATCATTTTCATCACTTTAGTCATCATCAAGATCATCATCCAGATCATCAGCGGTGAATCCTTCATAATCCCTCTAGTTGTATTTCTCTAAAGCCGCCAGGTGCATCCTACTGGTTTGGTGAAGCCCGATGACCCAGATGCCAAGGTGAAGTTCTTGGCGGCTGAGGCGCTGCGCGGTGTGGGCGGCATTGTGCTGGACGCCACGGGCAACCGCTTCTGCAATGAGCTGGGACGCCGTGACTATGTCACTGGGGAGATGTGGAAAAACAAACCACCCTTCCGCCTTTGCTTGAACAGGTGAGGGAAGGGCGTTTGGTAAATGAGTTGTGGAATTAGAACTTTGAAGATTTCGAAGTTCAAGGCACGTTGCAGTATCAATCGATAGGGGCATTGGATGAATATAATGGGAGGGACCCAGCTGAACAGATTTGAACCGACCTGAATGGACCCGTGCAGGGCTGCAGCTGATGAGATCATTTGGCATGCCAAGCACTACACTGGTCGTGGTGTGATGAAGTTTTATCCTTCTGGAGAGGACCTCGCCAAGGATATGGGTGTGCCTCTGCAAACGCTAGTGGACGCGCACCAGAAGCATTTCGAGGCTGCAAAGAAGCAGGACAGGCTGCATCAAGTGTACAGTAGATAGGAAACCAGCGCCGTTATAATTGCATAATTGCGCGGAATATACTACATACGAAGCTGATTTAATTTGGACGTTCCCTAAATGAAGCAATTAGTTCCATATATTTCTCGGTCACAAGTAGGCATGATGTGGTGTGGCCATGCACAGCGTTCCTGGGTTCCGTCGTATGTTCCGTCGTGAGGAGAAGGATCCTGACGGTGGCCCATTCCCTGCGTATCCTTCGGGCAAGACTTGGGATGAGCCCAGCGGCAAAACAGGCAGCGGCAAGAAGTTCTTCCACAACATCATCGATACTTGGCAGCGGCGAAAGATATTGCAACTTGTGGCATTGCGGCATAACCTTCATACACGTATGCCCTGAGTTGGAAGTAAGTCTCCCTCTAAGTAAGGACCAAGACCGTCGAAAGTTTGGGATGTCTTCCCATGTCTGATGCAGAATGAAAACCAAATGGCTTTACAAAGTGTTTTTGACGCGCCTTCCAAGGATGGATCCAAGGTGGCCACTGAGCCGTTCTATGCTGCTTGGCACAAGCTGATGTCCGGAGTTTTTGGGTTTAAGGCTCACAACATGCAACAGTCCCAACGCAGTTCCTTCTTTTCGTGGTTTAAACATGTTGAAGCATCCTTTTTTGAACATTTCAGGCATTTTCGACCGGACTTGATGGAAGTTTTGAGTGCCTCTTCATGGTGGCCATGCCACTCCAAGCTCATTGACAGATGACGCAGATATTGTAGGACATGCAAATGCATAACATCCGAAGCATTGTAGTAAGACCGCAACACAGGTGCCAGCTGCACAAGGTATTTGTTTGAGACATTTTACTGTAAGAGTTGGCAGATAGAGTTGGAAAATGGACATGAGTCACATTCTAAGACCCACGGGCCTGGTGTGGATTTTTGGCCAATCCCATTTGTTGGATTTAGGGACATCAATGTTTTGGACAGCCGGGATGATTACCGAATATCGAGTCGAATCAGCGTCACGGAGCAACGTCCGGAATCGATTATATCCAAAGGTTCGGACCGGATCAGCGTCGCAGAATCAGCGTCGAAGATGGTCGGATGGTCGGGACGGTCGGGGCGGATTTCTTTTTATTTTATTTTTTCTCGTTTTTTCCCGAATGCGTAGCAAAGGTTCCCTTTTCACTCTGGGGGTCTGGGGGCTGAGGGTGTGTTCGCTCGACGTTGCGTTTGTGGTCGCAACCGTTCGCAACCGTCCGCAACCGTCCGCAACCGTTCGTGTGAGGACCATGGCCGTGCCTATGTGAAGTTTTGCAGAGGTGGTCCTTTTTGGAGGTTTCAGACGTCTGGTTGCTTCGTTTCGCGTGGCAGGCGTGGCACTTCGTGACATTCAGACATGTTCTGGAACGCGTCGAAAGTCCTTTTTGCGTGGCAGGCGCAATACTTTTGTGACGTTTTCTAAAGGTGTCTTGCAGTTTTCGTGGCAGGCGCAGCACTTTGGACGTGTCCATCGTCATTTTCCGTGGCAAGCGCAGCACTTTAGACGTGTCCTGTTGCGTGTTTTTTGCAAATCGCATTGGCAGTGCTGCGTCAAGTGGCGACAAGGTGCAAATTCCGTGGCAGTCGTGGCATTTTGTGCGATGTGCTGAAAATTGACGGACGCCTCGCACGAAACATCGATTTTGAGGTTGCAAATTTTCAGGTTTAAGGAAAACTCCTAGGAACACGTCGATTTTGAAGCTACAAAGATCTACAAAGTCTGAAAATTGGAGGAAGTCTCGCACGAAATGCTCGTTTTGGTGCTCCCACCTGTCTCGTCTCGCGTGTCTGGTTTTCCCGTGGCCTCGCCGTGTCTATGGGGGAAGCTGCAAAACTGCAAAACTTGTCTTTGTGTCATGTTGCCAACTGTGAAAATTGCTGAAAGTCTCGCACAAAATGTTGGTTTTTCTGCATCCACGTGTCTTGTCTCGAGTCGCTTGTTTTTCTGTGGCGTCGCCGTGTCTATGGGGGAAGCTGGAAAACCCGTCCTTTTAGAATGTTTCCAAGCAGGTTGTCATGTTGTTTTGCGTGGCAGACGTGGCACTTTTTCCCGAATGCGTAGCAGGCGTAGCAAGGGTTCCCGTTTCACTCTGGGGGTCTGGGGGTTGAGGGTGTGTGTTCGCTCGACGTTGCGTTTGTGGTCCGCAACCGTCCGCAACCGTCCGCAACCGTCCGCAACCGTCCGCAACCGTTCGTGTGAGGACCATGGCCGTGCCTATGTGAAGTTTTGCAGAGGTGGTCCTTTTTGGAGGTTTCAGACGTCTGGTTGCTTCGTTTCGCGTGGCAGGCGTGGCACTTCGTGACATTCAGACATGTTCTGGAACGTGTCGAAAGTCCTTTTTGCGTGGCAGGCGCAATACTGTTGTGACGTTTTCTAAAGGTGTCTTGCAGTTTTCGTGGCAGGCGCAGCACTTTGGACGTGTCCATCGTCATTTTCCGTGGCAGGCGCAGCACTTTACGTGTCGTGTTGCGTGTTTTTTGCAAATCGCATTGGCAGTGCTGCGTCAAGTGGCGACAAGGTGCAAATTCCGTGGCAGTCGTGGCATTTTGTGCGATGTGCTGAAAATTGACGGACGCCTCGCACGAAACATCGATTTTGAGGTTACAAATTTTCAGGTTCTAAGGAAAACTCGTAGGAAAACGTCGATTTTGAAGCTACAAAGTCTGAAAATTGGAGGAAGTCTCGCACGAAATGCTCGTTTTGGTGCTCCCACCTGTCTCGTCTCGCGTGTCTGGTTTTCCCGTGGCCTCGCCGTGTCTATGGGGGAAGCTGCAAAACTTGTCTTTGTGTCATGTTGCCAACTGTGAAAATTGCCGGAAGTCTCGCACAAAATGCTGGTTTTTCTGCATCCACGTGTCTTGTCTCGAGTCGTTGGTGTTCCTGTGGCGTCGCCGTGTCTATGGGGGAAGCTGGAAAACTTCTCCTATTCGAATGTGTCCAAGCAGGTTGTCATGTCGTTTTGCGTGGCAGGCGTGGCACTTTGTGACATTCCAACCTGTTTGATAATGTGTCGAAAATGTCAAAATTGGAGGAAGTCTCGTACGAAATGCTGGTTTTTCTGCATCAACGTGTCTTGTCTCGAGTCGCTGGTTTTCCTGCGGCGTCGCCGTGTCTATGGAGGAAGCTGGAAAACATCTCCTATTCGAATGTGTCCAAGCAGGTTGTCGTGTCGTTTTGCGTGGCAGGAGTGGCACTTTGTGACATTCCAACCTGTTTGAGAACGTGTCGAAAATATCAAAATTGGAGAAAGTCTCGCAGGAAATGCTCGTTTTTTTGCACCCACGTGTCTCGTCTCGAGTCTCTGGTTTTCCTGTGGCGTCGCCGTGTCTATGGGGGAAGCTCCGCACTCCACACTCTACACTTTACACTCCACACTCCACATTTACACTTTAGACTCCACACTCCACACTTTACACTCCTCACTCCACACTTTACACTCCACACTTTACACTCCACACTCCACACTTTACATTCCTCACTCCACACTCCACACTTTGCACTCAACACTCCACACTCCACACTTTACACTCCTCACTCTACACTCCACACTTTACACTCCACGCTTTCCACTTCACACTCCTCCCTCCACACTTTGCACTCCACACTCTACACTTTACACTCCACACTCCACACTTTACACTCCACGCTCCACACTCTACACACCACACTCTACACTTTCCACTCCACACTCCACACTCCACACGCTACACTCTACACTCCACACTCTACACTTTACACTCTACACTTTCACACTCTACAATTTACAAACTCCACACTCCTCACTCCACACTTTACACTCCTCACTTTACACTCCACACTCCTCACTCCACACTTTACACTCCTCACTTTACACTCCACACTTTGCACTTTACACTCCTCACTCCACACTCTACACTCTACACTCCACACTCTACACTCCACACTCTACACTTTACACTCCATACTCCACACTCTACACTTTACACTCCGCATTCTACACTTTACACACTCTACACTCCCCACTCCACACTTTACACTCCACACTCCTTACTTCACACTCCACACTCCACACTCTACACTTTCCACTCCACACTGCAGACTGGTAACAAGGGAAACATGTACAAGACTGTTCAAATAAACTATTGCAGAAAGGTATTGTGCGTGACTGCATAACCATGTGTTTTGACATCTGTGCCATTAACATACGTGTGAGCATTCGGGTTCGTGGGCTTCATCTTGTTTTTAGTGTTTCTTTTAGGCATTCTTTATGTTTCTTTAGGGTTTCGTTAGGGTTTCTTTTAGGGTTTCTTGTCGGCTTTCTTGTAGGGTTTCCTTTAGCTTTCTTTAGCGTTTCTTTACGTTTTTTTCCATGCAGGGTTTCTTTAGGCTTTCTTCAAGGTTTCTTTAGGGTTTCTTTGTTGGGACGGTTGGGACCGTCGGGATGGTCGGGGTAGTCCGCAAGGTTGCCATCTATACCGTCCCGATCCAACCCACGTAGATTCCGATCCAGCCGCGCCGATCCGACCCATCTAGATTCCGATTCAACAACCCGCATCCAACCCGCACCCGATGATTACGCTCTTTGCATTTTTTGTTTGTCATTGAAACCATACTTAGAAAGTTCATACTGATGATCATGAGAAGATTATATAATGAAATTGAAATGAACCACCTTTTTCAATGTCACATGAATGATGATGGATCTGAATCTCGCCATATCTCGCCATATCTTGCCAGATCAGAGGTTGCCATCATCACCCCCGTGATTCACTACTGCATGGGCGGTTTGGAATGCACCGTAGATGCCGAATGCATCGACAAGTCGGGAAAGGTCATCCCTGGTCTCTACGTGGCAGGTGAGGCTGCTGGCGGCATTCACGGCAACAACCGCTTGGGTGGCAACTCGCTGTTGGACTGCGTGGTCTTTGGCCGTGTGGCTGGCAAGGCAGCCTGCAAGTTCACCTTCGGAAAGGATGAGAAGTTCAAGCCATGCCCTGTGCCCACTGAGCTCAAGGAACTCACGAAGTGAGTTCAGGTCACTATCAGCTGTTGATGGCTGTAGCATCGCAGCTGACTAAAGCTGACCAAAAGAGTCACGACAGACGTCGCTTTTAAGCTTTTCTAAAGCCGTTCCCATGTTGCGGGGCCCATGTTGGTGTCTCGCGATTGACGGAGCTCTGGCTTAACTTAGCTTCAAAAAAGTCCTTTCGGGTTCAGGGACTGCATTTGATTTGGCTCCCCGAAAAAAATGTAAAAAAAATGATTCAGTGAAGTTTTCTAAACTAATATCATAGCAGTATAACAAATCAAAATTTATTCATAAAAGAAACATAACAGTCCAAAAAGTCAGTTTAAATATTGTTGATTGCTTCATTTTTCTCAACAATATCAAAGCATAATTACCTCATTCAATTTTTCAAAATCATAGCAGTCAAAGCATACTTACCTCATTCAATTTTTCAAAATCATAGCAGTCAAAACATACTTACCTCATTCATTTTTTCAAAATCATAGCAGTCAAAAACACTATTACCTTATTCATTTTACAAAATCCTATCCATCAACCGTTCCTAAACTCCTTTTATGCTTCTCTGTTTTTAAATGTCTTGAATAACATTGTGCCTTCATTGATGAATTACATATATTACAAAAAGCAACTTTATCACGATAGTTTTGTATTTGTTCCGTTTTTTTCTATATTCTTCATCTTCTTTATATTTAGTTCTTCGTGTTTCATTCACTTTACCTTTATGTTTGTCATAGTTATTTCTCTTGTATTCCAAGCATTTCTTACAAGTCTTCAATCCATCTTCAAAATTATCAATTTGTAAATCTTTAACACAGTACCTACAAAATTTATCCATTACACATAAATATGATTATCTTCTTAAATGTCTTTTCCAAGAATTCCTATAACAACCAAAAAACAAAAACAAACCAAGCAAAGAACAACATTAAAAAAAAGAAAAAACACTAGACAACAATAAACATTATTCCCTACCCTTTAATAACCCTATCTTACAAATCCATAATCCTAATAAATCAATATTATTAGAAATATGTTAGTAGTAAATATCTTCAATAATTATTAATTCAAAATGAAATGCTTGTATTCCAATTATACTATCTTTATCTTGGTCTTCTTCTATGTCGGTATTTATTTCTTCATCTGCTTTATTCAATACATCGTCTATATTATCTTCATCTACATATTCATCAAAGTCATGCATGAAGTAAATTTCTCTATAACTAAATTCATTGTCTCCATATTCTTTATCTGGGAGTTTTGCTACTATTTGGACTTCAATATCAAGTTTAACTCTAAAATTTTAATTATCTTCTTCTACTTCTTCGTAAATCAAAGATAGTAATTCTTCTTTTTCTTCTGTTATGATGTTTCCTATACTTTTTAAACCAAATGGCACTCCCTCTCTCACCTCCCTCTCTCACCTCCCTCTCTCCTTCTGTCCTCTCTCCCCTCTTCCCCCTCTTCCCCCGCTCTTCCCCCCTCTCTCTATCTCTCTATCTGTCTGTCTGTCTGCCTGGCTGTCTGTCCTGTCCTGTCCTGTCCTTTCCTGTGTCCTGTCCTGTGTCCTGTCCTGTGTCCTGTCCTGTGTCCTGTCCTGTGTCCTGTCCTGTGTCCTGTCCTGTGTCCTGTGTCCTGTGTCCTGTCCTGTCCCGGCCTGTCCCGTCGTGTCCAGTCCGTCCGTCCGTCTGTCCGTCCGTCCGTTCGTCTGTCTGTCTGTCTATCTATCTACCTATCTATGTATCTATCTGTCTAGCTATCCATCTGCCTAGCTATCTATCTGCCTAACTATCTATCTGCCTGGACCTGTCTGTCTTTCTGTCTGTCTGACCATCTGCCTATCTACCTATCTATCCATCTATCTGCCTGTCGGTCTATCTATCAATCTGTCTGTCTGTTTGTCTATCTGTTTTTCTATTTGTCATCTTTCGATTTATCTATGTATCTATCTATCTGTCTATCTGTCTGTCTGTTTGTCTGTCTATCTATTTATCCATCCATCCATCCATCTATCTGAAATGAAGCCAGTCTACGAGACTTCCTCAGAAAATGGATCTGCACAGGTCCAAAACGTAGCAATTTTATGCAATTTTGTGAGACCTCAAAAAGTGCAAGTTCGCAGCTCCAAAACGATGAGCTCGTACCAATGCATCTTGCGATTTTTCCATCCCATGTCTCTAAAGTATTGCGCCTGCCACGAAAAAGTCATACGAAGTACTGCGCCTGTCACGCAAAATCTTCTTAGCAAACCCGAAGATCTGATGCTCCAAAATGTAACCCATCTCAGGACATCAGCGCCCTGACCTCCTGCCACGCGATTTTTTTTTTTTGCGTGCCCTCTTCAAATCTGCACCCCGCATCGTTTGTGAAACTGCTGCAAAGCCCATGCTTTTGGCTGACCTTTTACAAGGTGCAGAATCCATTGCGCCTGCCACACAAAACAACGCTTGAACGTCCATTTCGACTTTATACATTTTTACGTGGAAATGTCCTTGGCACAACAACGCCGTGCACTTTTTCACCGTCTCAACTTCCAAAAGTGCTCCGGACCTGAGGTGTTTTGTACATTTTTACTTGGAAATGTGCTTAGCGCCACAACGCCGTACACTTTTTGAACATCTCAACCTCCAAAAGTGTTCCGGCGCCGGTAACGAAGTGTTTTTAGCATTTTGCATTCAAAATCTGCTTCGCGCCACAATAGCGCGCAATTTTTAATCTCTCATCTCACCAGATGGCTCCGCACCCGCCGCCGCTTTAGCGAACCTACTAGTGTCTAGTGTTTCGCGACTTTTCGACCTTTTCGTACACTTGCATCTAGTTTCTTCTGACTCTTTCTCTTCTCTGATCTTCTTTCTTCTCCCTTTTTCTTCTCTCTTTCTCTTCTCTGATCTTCTTTTTTCTTTTTCTTCTCTGACTCTTCCCACCTTCGCTTGTCCATCTGTCCGTATTGTCGGAAGTTTGACTTCTAAACCGCCTTCGGCAACATAGTGAAGTGACGCATCTTGACTAGAACACGATTCGCATTTGCACATACTTATTTGCTTGACAATGCGTTGTTTCATGTTGTTTCGCTTTGTTTGGTTTCATGTGTATTTAATTTGCATTTTTCAACCACACATCATGTCATTGTTGTATTTGGCGAGCGCGTCAAACTGAATGAAACGTTGAAAACAACAACTGAGGCTTGCCGCTGATGGGTCCTGCCTCTTCCTGCAATGCCATAAACATGGGGCGACCAGTATCAGGCACACTGTAGGAAACACCCTAGCAGGAACGCAGTACACTACGTGCTTGTGGTTGAAGAGACGCGTTCGTTTCAATTTTTCCAGCGGCCCTTTCACGAAACACAACACAGAACTCACAAACTTATCTTCCCAAACTCCTCCGCGTCCTCAGTTCCGATGCGATCCATGGCGATCTGCAACCAATGCCTTCCCAAAAATGTTGCGCTTGCAGAACTGACGTACAAAGTTGCCAAACTTGGATCTCGACGTCCAAACCGAACAAGTGTATTGTTGGTAGGTGTAAAACTTATGGGCCTATGCGGCCCAGAGAACTTAAAACATCCTAAAACTAACATGTTTAAAGTGGCAACTGTGTTTACACCGGCAAATTTCCTTTCGAAAAGTGATCCAACAGTTATTTTATTTTGGTTTATCGAATTGGCTACAGATGCAATAATTACATGGCGTCGTCAAAATCCGTGCACTTTTTGTACGAGGTAAGTGTTCCTTCTGCGGGCCAACTATGCAACGTTCAGTTTTCCAACATCCTGAATCCAGATTCCGCCTGCAACTTTTCAAAATACACTTTGATCAAAGTCTAGCTCTTAAATCATGTCGTGCACCAGTTGTTCACTCCCCGCCTGATCACACCAGCGCGGCGGACCCATTTCACATTCATGCAACAACGTATCGCGCAGCAAATCGGTTTTCACACTGTCTAGGTGGTTTGGACATCTAATTGCAGACATGTGTGTTTTCTTCTTCTTGCTTTTGATGTCCTTGTTGTGCGGCTTCCAGTTTGTGTCAAGACGGCTACGATGCTGCATGAATACTAAATATACTAAATACTCGTCACTTCGGCGTGGTGCTGTGATGGAAAGGCTGGAAAGGGTTCGACACCACTGTGCGCGCGACACAATGCGGCGTGCTGGAGAGCGGCATTGTTAGGGAGGAAAAAGGAACCGGGGGAAGTGCGTAACTGCACGACTGCGAACTGTGTGCGAGGTGGTGTGCGATACAGTGCTGCAGTGAGATGAATGTTGCAGGGGTGCATTGGCGTGCTGTGATAGGGCAAAAACAATGTGGATGCTGTCGGCATGGTGGTCCTGACAGAAGCAGTGTGGAGGGTGGTGAGCAAAACAGGATGGTGCAGGATAGGGACGGCAATTCATGTTCCCTTCAGATGCTGTTGAATGGTAGTGTCAAAGCGGGGGCTCGGTGAAGAATTCAATGTCAAGAATCCGAAATCATCAAACATTACTTGCCGATACAGAATGGAATGGCGCAACCAAAGCACGACAAAAACAGTGGAACTTGACTCGGTGCCTGATTACTTGTGAAGTTACTCGTGAATATTGAAAACAATACTTCGCATTGATCAGAGTAGAAAATCACATAGAAAAGGCGTTGGATCAACCCAAACACCACACAATGACTGAACATAGCTCGCTGCTTGAAGGTCACGGAACTATGTTTCCGATGCACACTTTTGAAAACAGGCATTTGCAAATATCAAGTATACGGAACCCAAGATCGTTCAACATTTTGTTCAACGTGTGCCTGCCAGGTAAGGGCCTCTAGATTTCAAGAGACATCCCGGATCGTCGCAAATCATCCTATTAGTCAAGGAACGTGTTTGCCACCATTGAGACTACAGGCTACCCATTTCTGGAAGTGATTTTTTCACACAGTGTATTGACATGATGGACCTTGCTGGAACGTCCTGGATTTGTATAACAGCGAACCAGGGACGGACGGGATAGGAAAGGTTTCAGATTTCGGATCTTGTGTGGCGCACACCCATGAGAGACATAGCTAAAATTGCCCTTTGTCCTACATGTCTGCAAAATAATTTTGGAGGAATTCAATTGCTCAAAATCACCTCATTATATACATAATCACTGTGCGACACCGTCTCAAAATTATGGCTGGTGAAAAGCGTCAAGTCCTTTGTTGGGATTAAACAATATTAAACATAACGTATTATTGTT